CAACAGCTAAGTGTAAAATGGCAAGCACACATAGTGTCTACGTGACAGGAAACCTGGATGGCCAAAAGTGCAACTTTGTCATAGATTCTGCATCTCAGCAAACTTTTATGAGTATCAAGGTGCTGGATCACAAAAGAGTATCAGAAGTCATACAGAAGCTCTGTGGTGTGACAGGACATTATGCAAAATTGTGGTGACCAGTGTGGGTAACTATTGAGCTCATGGGCATGAAGTATAACTGGCTGACATTGAAGACCAATGCATATTAGGGTTGGACTAATTACTACCGAGGAAGTGTGTAGTTAACTTTGATAAAATGACGTTTGAGAACAACAAAGGCCAAATTCCGGTAACTGTTAAAGGAGAGGTTGAACTAACTAGGTGCCATCAAGCTGAAGTCAAAGTGACTGAATGAGTTGATGATGGTGAAGTTGAACCAGGTATAGATATTAAATCAGAGCAGGAGAAAGACCAAGATTTGAAGCCAATAATTGATTTTCTAAAAGCAAGTGTTTTGCACCCTGCTTGGGAGAAGGTGTCTAGTCTAAGCCCTGAGACAAAGAACTATTGGGCACAATGGGACCAGTTGAAGCTTGAAGATGGTATTCTTCTCCGGAGATGGGAAACTGCAGTTGGAAAAGTGACGACCTGGTAAACGGTTATACCGAGAAAGTTACGGGAAGTTGTGCTACGTTAATCCCATGATAGTTTAACAGGAGGACATCTTGGAGTTAAGAAGACATTGAGTCACTTATGACAGAGATTTTACTGGATAGGTATGAGACAAGATGTGGAAGAATGGTGCAGGACATGCAGTACATGTTGTGTTAAAAGGGGACCCAAGTATAAGGGACGTGCTCCAATGAAATTATATCAAGTTGGCGCACCAATGGAAAGAGTAGCTGTTGACAATGCTGGTCCTCTGCCCCAAACTCGTGCTGGAAACAGGTACATTTGTGTGGTGATGGATTATTTCACCAAGTGGCCTGAGACATATGCAATACCAAATCAGGAATCTACAACTGTAGCTTCGACTATTAGTGATTTCTTCTTCAGATTTGGTATGTCATACGAACTGCATTTAGATCAAGGCCGTAACTTCGAATCAGCTGTGTTCCAAGAATGCTGCAATTTTTTGGCATCCGAAAGACCAGGACAATGCCACTTCACCCACAGTCTGATGGGATGGTAGAAAAGTACAACTGGACACTGGGACAGGAATTGGCAAAGTTTTGTAATAGTTGCCAAGATGACTGGGATGTCTTACTCCCTCCACTGTTGATGGCCTATAGGACAGCAGAGCATGAAACCACTAGATACACTCCAGCAAAGTTGATGTTTGGTCGGGAACTTCGGTTGCCAGTGGATCTATTAACAGGACGCCCACCTTATGAAGAGTTGCCTAAAAATGTGTCAGAGTTTGTGAAAGTGTTATAGGGAAGGATGGATGATATTCACCATCAAGTGCATTCAAACTTGAAAACGTCTGCTGATTCGATGAAGTTATCTTATGATAAGAGATCTACAGAAGTCAGCTTTGTACCAGGAGACAAGGTGTGGTTGTATAATCCCAGGAAGACCAAAGGGAACTCTCCTATGTTGTTTTCTCCATGGGAAGGCCCATATGACATAGTGGATCGTCTCTCAGACGTGACTTTCTGAATAAAATGTGGTCGGCGAGGTAAGCCAAAGGTGGCGCATGCCAACAGGCTTTGGCGTTATCACGGTCCAGGACTTTTCAGGTGGGATGAAGTGAACAATGGAACAAAAGATGCTGCTGAAGACGTGTCACCTGAAAAAGCCACTGTCGAAGAAGAAACTCTACTCGGTTTTGAGAAGGAAAACAGTGAAGCCCTTGAGTCAAAGAATGTTTTGATTGTTACAGTATCTCGCTATGAGGTCATCCGAATTGACCGACCTCCTAACCGATTTGCTCTCTCTCTTTCAGCCGTGGGAGCGTTATGAAGTGACGGTCAATAATTCTATTCGTTGGTAAAAGAGTATCTCAAGAATTCACGGTGGGTGATGTTGACTAGCTGCCTTACCTCTAGATTATCACTGCTGAACTAGGGACGGCTATCGCAGGTAGTCCTCATGTAGCTTAGCACGAAAATTTAAACCAAACCAAACTATACGATATCTGTTCTACATGTTATACATTTATTTTTAACACACCTAAGAACATCATCCACAAAGGCTTTATGCATTTTGTTTCATGTTGGAGAGAGTAACTAATTATATTATTGAGAGTAGGCTAGTTAAATTTTTTTCAGTGGGCAATTTCTATCAATATTTTCACCTTTAAGAATGGGCACATTACAAAAGACCATTTGAGCCGATCATGCATCATAATATTCAACTTATTTCATTCGTATACATGCCCATCATGTTGTTGAAACTGTCCGGTTATTCGATGTTCTAAAACACCTAAATTGCACTAACTGTATAGTTTTCATTTCAATAATAGTAATAATACATTAAACATTTAAGTTATTTAATCGATCCCTTAAACTCAAGATATTGAAGTTGCAGAAGTTATTTGTAACGGACAAAAATACTTGAAATAGCGTGAGATAAATCATCATTTTTAAATTTTTCGAATATTTTTTATACAATATTATAAATATGTATTAACTGTTTGATTGTGACATTGAATGCATCTGAGATTTGGGCATTAAACTTAATAATAGTATTAATACCGCTCAAGTATGATAGTGAGTGATCGCAGATAGTCATTTGAGATAATGACAGCGATACGGCAAATTACTTTATGCTACTGACTGTTGTTATTACTAGAACTAAGAAAGTATATGATTGTTGGTGTTTTTTTAAATTGAACAGGAGTAGGGATAGGATGCTCCTAAAATGTTGATGATATTAATGCAGTCAATCACTGGAACTTGGAAGTTTATTATTTTTACATTTGCAATAAAAGTTTCGGTGTTTTGAAACTTGAACTGAAGTCAGCTATTACTATTTACTAATACTAGTATTACTATTAGTTTTAGTTTAAAAAAAAAGCCCAAATAAGCGACCTCTGAATAAAAGAAGCCCAAAGAATTGCAACCCATAGCTCTCAAAAAATTAAAGCGACTTTAAAAATTATTAGAACTAGAGTAGAAGTGAACTTGGCAATGCTGGTTGAATATGAATAGTATGAATTGATTGTGAGTATGAGTATGATACAGTGGAATTATTAAAACTCTCTTTGATTTAGAGAATATTGATAATAGCTATTTTGAAATTCAAGGTATTTGTCAGTAATCTCTTAAAACTGAATGAACAATAAAGCATTTTATTTCTTGACAAGATAATCATATGGACGAGAAAATTCACAAGGAGATTTTTACTACACAAAAGCTGGGTTACACTTGATATTGATATTTAATTCTATTATTTCCCTTCCTGAGCAAAAGTATGATCCAAAATTTTTATTTCTCTATTTTTATTACTTTGTTTATTTACTTTCTGGTTTGGAGGCAAGTGCCTGGATAAAAGGGTCTCAAGTCAACTTTAGCACTGTAACAATTGTGGTCCATAAATCTAATGACAGTAAGGTATTTCACGGATCATGCACAATCTTGATTTTTAAATATCTTTAAACTTTTGCATGGTTCTTAGGAGAAAAAGAACAATCTTCCCATTGTACCCATAGACAATTTGCTGTAAGCTAACTTTGTTTTTTGCATTGCTGCCATTAACTGATGATTAAGAAATAAAGTTTAACCCAATGTTATATCAAGCTATCTAGATTTCTGTGAAATACGTTTCTTTTTCTTCTTTGAATTGTTAATTGCAAGCATAATTTGATTCATCAGGAGTCTTGTAAGGAAAATCAAATGTAAAACTTGTATTGTGATTATGACCATTTCTCATATGGCTGTAGGTTATTATTTATGATAAGTTTCAAGTGTAAGTTTGATGGTTTCTTTTTTGTTTTACAATTGTAGTGGCAACATTAACTTTTAAGAATCTGAAACGTAATGTACTCTCAAGTTTTTGTCTTATTTAGTACTTATCTACATTAGTTACAATAAGGCTTTTTCTTGTTTCATTCTTTACTGCCAGTTTGCACACGTAATTGGTTCATTAAAGGATGACACAATCTACATCTGAGTTGTTACAATTTCTAAAATGGAGTACTTAATGAAAATAGGTAAAAAATATTGGACTTTACTTTGGGTAGCTACTTGCTAATTAAAACCATTTTTATCACATTGAATCATTGGATTATATGATTTTGTTGTCTTATGATTATTTTTGTAGAATACTAGGCAAGAGTTTAATTGTTATTTCAGATGGTTCAGGCTTTCCAAAACTGTTTTCAAACTGTAGACATCATATCAGTATGTTGCATTTTAATTAGCATCACTTCAAAAATGTTTAACTGTTTTTATCTTGTTGAAACTAAACTGAATTCATTATACTTTCTCACATTATAATATTGTAAATTTTATTTTCCAACCTTATAAACACTTGACCAAAACAAAACTTCAAACAGTCAAGCATTATTTTCATTTAACTTGGCTTGTTCCAAATGTGTGGAATGTACAGTAAGTTGTATAAAAATGTAATGAGATCAGTTAAATATATTGTTTCTGTTCCAAAGAAAAGAATAAACAGGTATAAGAATATCTTGATTATTCACAAAGTAATTAAATCTTCATTCCATAAGAATATTTTTAACAATGTATATGAAGTTTACCGTATTAGTGTAGGCAAACCTTAACAATTTATACCTTTGAGGAGGTACGGCATTAACATAGAATGGCTTTTTTATTCATTAATTTGTTAATAGTTTCAATAGAACCACTTTAAATTTTTTAAATAAAAAATAATAGATAACATTTGTTATAGAAAGATGATTGTTTTTTTTTGAAGCATACAAATTTCTTGTGTTTTGAGATACACATAAAATCTAAAACATTTCTTTTGTGTGTGTGTGTGTGTGTGTTTCTATTTAACCAAATTTTGCCTGTAAGTCATAAATAAAAGTTATGATTTGAGTAAAAAAGCTAGGATAAAATGATGTGCATATGTGTGTGAAAATATCTAATGTTTTACAGTGCTTCTACAAACAAAAACAGATTAGTACATAACTAACTCTATTTTGTACTGCTAAAAATAATGTATCATTTCATAACAGGGCCATGGAAGCTTTACGTAAACAAGTGTCTGATGTGGCAGGTGAAGGAGATGAAGTTGTTGCAAATGAAAATAAAAAAATAAAACTCTCATCAGAAGTGGAGGTTAAAAGAACATCAGTAAGTGTGCATGAAAATATATCATCATTTGAAAACTTCCACTTAACCAAGATTCTTAACCAAAACAGCTCAACTAAATCAATATTTGTTGAAGGTCGGTTTGGAAATGATATTCGTCCTGCTGTTATTCTGTTGGAAAAGACTTCATTTGTGGATGAAGCAATTAAAAAGATGCTTTGTAAGGACATGACAGTCAAACAGCAGTTTCATAATGACATATATGGAAGCTATGAAGGATTTCCCAGTGCAGAGTTCAATGGTAAGTCATCAGAGATTTCACAGTCAAAACCTTATTATCTGGCATTTACTGAATGTGGGTAGTGCTGGATAGGGGAAAATTCTGGTTACAAAAGCAATTCCCTCATAATATTTTACAGTATTTCTACATCATTTATAATAGTAACAGTTTTAAGCACTACTAAATGTTGTAAATAGTCTTAAACTGTATACAAAAATGAGTAAGTACAGTATTTTAGCTTTGAATCACAGTACAGATGGATAACGACTGAAGCTTGCTGGCAGGAAAAAAATTTAAACAAAGACATAGCAACACCACTAAGCTACAATGAGCATTTGTATTTGGAGATATTGAAATTCCTGGTTACAAGAGCTTTCTGGATACAAAGATGTGGGATAACAAAGCTTTTACTGTAACTCTGATCCGCCTTAACCCTGCATTAGTTTTTCGGAGCCTTCACAGAAGCACATATATGTTTGTTGTTCTCAGTAGTTTCAGTATTTGGCTAGTTTGTGTTAAATTGCTACACTTAGTTTAGGTGGTAAAAAAGAAACAAGTTGTAATATTTAATGTTTATTTATTGATTAATAAAGAAAAATATTTTGAGTGTTAGTTTTTGTTTCCAAAATAATAGTTTATTATTATTTAAATATTTTTTTTATGATGGGATCCACTCAGACCCTGGAAGGGTGACTATGGAAAATTTTTACGGAATACTAACACAGGGTTAAAGTAATTCAAACACTAAAATTTTAAAATTATGGGTATTGAGATGCATTGTATGATACATTAAATATCTCTTCACTACATAGATATTAATACAGGGTTTAAGCAAATGTTTGTTTGGGATTATTATGCATACGTTCATCAAAAACATCATCACCATATTTTGTTTAGTATGAAAAGTTTAGAGATTATTTCAGCTATAAATGATTAATTAGGAAACTGCAAAGTTCTGATTATTATGATATAATGTTGCTGCTAGACATAATTGTAAAAGACTGATGAAATATCCTGCTACTTTATCATTAATCGACAATAAAAAATGTTATATTGTTTTGATTCTATTATCACACAATATAGGCTTTTTTACTCCCCATAAACATAAGTGAGGTTATGAGAAAGTGTAAAGTAACAGAATGCCATTTGGCTCATTGATGTTGCCCAAATTAAAAAGCAGCTTTTCACATCCATTTATCCATCCTACTGTTGTAATTGACTACAAAATGCAAGTTTACTAACTTTAGCAGAACCTGCATTTTAAAATGTGAAATTAAACTTTCAGGTGTGCTTTTCAAATTGTGTTAAAATGTTTAACCTTTATTTCAGATGGTCATAGACCATGAATTTTAATCAACATCTATAGCAGTTGTTGAAATTACCAGTTTGTAATTAATTACTTTAACAATGAAGTATTTAGATCTGGGCAGTTAGTGAAATTTGCTAATTTATTAATTGTTGGGCTCATTAATTGATTACATTCAACTAATTGATTATTCTCACATAAGATGGATGAAAAAAATTCTTAAGGGAGTTGGCACCAAAGCATCAAACCTATTAGCAGAGCACAGATAGCTTATTATGTAGCATTTTGTACAACAACAAACAAATGTCATGACAATAGTTCAATTCCTTGGGTAGTTGAAATAGTAATAACCAGAAACCCTAGTTTTGATTGTTGAGTATTTTTGTTTGTTGTGACATAAATTGATTAAGTTGTATAAACTTGAATTAATAGAAGATAATAATGAAAAACCATAATGGCATTATTTTGATCACTGGATAGTTGAAAACAGTAATAATCAGAAACATGAAATCAGTTTATTGATTATTTTTGTGATGTAAATCAAATTAATGATGATTTTAACTTCTGGATACTTGGAATAATCAAAACCATAATGACTGAAAACAGTTGATTATTTTCATAACATTAATCAATTTAATTATTGTTTTGGTTAACTGATTATTTACTTGATGCTATTAGATATGATTGATGCTCATACGAGATTGATTGTATCAATTAATTGCTCAGTTCTAGAACTGTGTGTATCTGTTTAGCTTTTTAATGATATTGTAATAGCATTTTGAATTGTATGGTGTTTTTATGGCTCTGCTCAAATATCAAGATATTGCAAGTTGTTGTTTTTTCAAATGGAGTCTAGCTTTGTTCCTTTGTAAAGTGTATATGTACAATTTTTTCTTTAGGTGTGAAAACTACAATTATTCACCCTGCCACAGAGAAACACATTCAGAAGTATTCATCCCATCCTGCCTACTTAGTTCAAGAAACTCCAGAAGTGTACAAGAATGTTATTGAGCCTCATATTCAAAGTCAACAGTTTTCAATGCAGGTAACTCATGACTAGAAACTACCCAGTTGTTGGAGTATGCATGTTTCAGACTTTCAGATATACAATTTTTGTTACAAAACAATCAAAAAGAACAAATTCGTACTGCAAACTATGGTGTCTGTCTAAACGTTAATCTGTCTATTGGTTGAGAAACTGTGCATGCAGGCAAAGCTCATCATTCACTTTTGAAATGACAGAAGAACAGGCATGAATAATGTTGATGCCAAATTTTATTTTGCAAACAGGGTATTCTACACTAAATTAGGAATTAATCACACTATCATTCACATTTCAAAATGTGACATAACTTAAAGAATAAAAATGTAGATTTACCGTATGTTATTGTTGAGTGGCTCTTAGCATGACCGTGTATATCAAATGCAATGTTACCTCTTGATGTACTTTTGAATAAACCTTTATAGCTTTGTGAATTAGGATTATAATTAGGTTGAAGTGACAAGTAAATAAATAATGTGTTGAAGTAGTGTTAGTTTTTATTATATCCTTTTTTTTACATTTCATATTAAGAAATGTAAGTTATCAAATTTGATAATACATAAAAAATGTGAAATTTCCTTGAAATTCATGTCAGCTGGCTAGTTATATCTGATAAGTGCATGCAACTGGTGAGTCTCTTTGTTTGTTTTTTCTGCCAACGTGGCTTGCACTTATTACTGACCTTTGAAGTGACTGGCAAACATATGGTAGTTGCAAAAAAAATGGTTAGTTTCAAGCCCTGATATATATATATATATATATATATATATATATAG